GTTGGCGGAGGTCAGGAATGGCGTTGTCTGTGTCTGCGAGGATGGCGAGGAGCTGCCGGTTTCTGACGGCTGCCTGGCGGATTTTGGATTCTAAGTCGGAGGTGGCCATATTTTTGTTGTCTCTAAGGGATAGAGGGCAATGCAAGCTATGCTTTACTTGATGGCAAAATAGGTACAAGAGGAATTATCGTTTGCGAATGGGTATATAGGTTTCAGGTGTGAGGAAATAAAATACTAAATGGGTATCTTGAGGGTATCGTGAGGGTTCAAATATTGTGGTGAAGCCTCGAGTAAAAACACATAGGCGGGTTTAGATTCTACTTAAGTTCTGGTTCTTGACGATGGAGTCAAAACACAAGAAAATCTGTCAGTGACAAGAACTCACGACGGGGGGCTCTCTCCGAGGCCTGGGCATTATATGTTCGCCTAGTAATCCTTGGCAGACATGATGAATGCCTAACCATAGTCCCATCTCGGTGTTGGTTCGGTGCCAGAAAGGATCAAAGGTGACTATTCCCTCCAAGTCCCCAGCAACAGAGTCATAGCATAACGATGGCAAGCGTGGCATCCCATGACATCAGACCCTCGCCCTTGAACATTGTTCGGCCGGGTTGCCTCTACGGTGCGGCGGCGCCCACTGAGTGCGGGGTGGGTAATCCCGTAGCGGTGGACGGATCAAAATAAGGGTCTGGTTTTTTTTCTCTGGTCTTACCACCCAACCGCATTAGCAGGGCGAAGACTAAACTGAGAGGGCGGCGGCAAAATGGGGCAACACCGGGGAATGGGTGTGGTGAACTGGTGAAGGGGGAAATCAGTCAATACTGTTCCGGTTTGAACTATTGGGCTGTGAGCTGGGATCATCGGTGCTGTGTTGTTAGTGTAGGGTTGCGCCACGGACCGAGATGGCGGGAGAGAGAACTAGTCTTTAGAATCTACACTCTTGTTCAAACTGAGCCACAGCGGATCGAGCTGCTGTTTTCTGTTGCCGCCCAATTGTGGCCCATAATGTTCGAAGTTTTTCCATTTTCTGCGGATCTCTCATTGAGACGTCAATTCCTAGTAGCCGCAGTTAGGAGAATCTGCTGATCACAGAGACTCTGTTGGGGATGGGGGGGAATAGCCACGCGCTAGAAACCTGCCAAGAATCGAAGGATTCGGCGCCGCTGTGAAACTCGAGAGACCTGGATAAGACCTAACACGATCTAAACGCTTGGAATGATGCTGATGTTTGTGGCCAGTAATCACAAAAGCAGCAGGGATCCTCGCCCATTGACCATGACACTCGGAAACTGGGTAGGACCTGGAAACTGACGAAGACAACAGAGGGGAAGTGGTTTCGGTGTGGCTGGTGCTTCCTAATCTGCTCTTTTTTGCAAGCGGAGAGGCCATGAGTTCATGTTTTGAACCGGCTGACTGGTCTGTCACCCATGACGATGACGATATGCACCACCCGCCGGGCCATCGAGTCTGTTGTTAATGGCGTCGAGACCATAGCGATCTTGGTGACAATGTTCATCGACAGTCTTGAGGAGCTAACGCATGACGATGCCCAACGAAAAACAGAAACAAACTGAAGAAAATATCAAGGCACCCACCCATCACCGCGGTCAAGCCCGAAAATGCCCAATTTCATGCGCATTGACCCTGTGGTCCATCGTGAGAGAATCGTACACAATGGAACAATTACCCTCATTAATGATATAGATGACCCAGATAAGTAGTCTCGCATGCCTCATGTTAGCCTTGCGTACCGCTCACAACAATTCTCATTCGAGGGTCTCCCCCATTGCGCGACAGACACCTGAAGACCAGTGACAGCCACGTGGGCGAATGGCAGCTGATGTTATCGATGCCAACGAGGCGGCGGGAATCCACAATCGTCTTGCCCCGTCGGGGATGATCCCCGTTGACAACTTCAATAACCGGCGGCAAGGTTCCCCACTCATGAAAATGGTCGGCCCTGCCCGTCAGTTGGCTGTCAATTGTTCGCCCAGCAACCGGAAGTGGTCCGCGGTATATTGGCCATCTTTGATTCAATTGATTCAGAACGCCTGCTTAACCATCCCTCGCTGACCACGGTAGCCTGCGATACTGTCGAGTCGTGGTAATTTTACATGGAATATCCGGTCTATGCTTGTTAGTCCATCTAACCCAGTTCCCATACCGCCTTATCTATCCCAAAATGAAAACATTGCAATGAAACCAATTACAAAGCAAAGCGTATCAAATGATAGAAGAGCCTCATCCGGGGTTAATCCTCCGCGCCTGACTCATAGTCCAGTGCTTCTAGGGTGCTCTCCGTGTCTAAGTGAATGGGTCCCTTCTTCCTCGGCTCTTCTACAAGCATCAACGCCGCCCACGTCAAGGACGCCAAGAGCGCAACATAGAACCACGGCAACCCCTTCCACAGCCCCTTCTTCTCAAGTCCGACCGAGAAGGCCCACGCCAGTACCGGTCCGCCGAGCGGAGACCCGAGAGTATCGACCATGCTCGTGAGCGCGTACAGCCGGGACGTGTGCTCCGGATCGACAAACTCGGTGATCATGGCGCGCGCGAGCGGGTTGTGGGCTGAACCAAAGGTCTGGAAGACGAGACCCAGGAGGAAAACGACGATCTCTTGGCTAAAGGCCTCAAGGAGGGCGCCGGCGGCGATCATGATGTAGGACGCCTTGGCGAGGAGGGCGTCCTTGCCGAAGCCGGTGCGGCGGAATCGGCCGCGGGGATCAACGACGATTTTCGAGACCCAGGGGAGGAGAACGAGGGTGCCGAGGTGTAGGAAGCCCAGTGGGGAGAGGAGGAAGCTGGTTTGGGCGAGAGTCCAGCCAAAGTTCTTGCTCACGTATTGCGGTAGTGTAGAGGAGTTTGCCGTCATGATTGGGTTGCCGACGATGGAGGGCACAAGGCAGAGGAGGATGTTGCGGTTTTTGAGGATCGCAAGGGAGTCCTTGAGCTGGACCAGCCCTTTGAGGAAGCCTTCCTTGATGGCGTCGCCTAGCGGCAGCTGCGGTTTGGGCGGTTCGTTCCCGTCGTCGAGCTTGACACGAAGAGTCTCAGGCAGGAGCATGATGATGAGGAAGACGAACGGGGTGAGTATGAACACCATACGGATCGGCACCCAGGGGCCGAATTTCTCCATGAGGAAGCCGGCGGAGACGTGGCCGCTAACGCCACCGACCACGGCGCCGACGGACAGGATGCCAAAGTTTGAGGCGCGGTCCTTTTCGGTACTGATATCGGCGGCCATGGCGTAGACGTTGTTGAAGACGACGACGATGCCGCCGCCGAAGAAGAAGAAGCAGGAGCCTAAGAAGAGGTAATAGATGCTCAGCTCCGGAAAGTTGGCCAGAATGAAAGGGGACCAGCTGAAGGCGGCGATAGTGCCCATGTAGGCGAAGACGAGGCCTGCCTTGCGGCCGATGCTGAACGTAGGGAAATCGTGTTAGCAATAAGGTAAATGGACTCGTAGTGGGATGGCTTCAATCTTGCTCCCACACGGGAGGGGAATCGTGAGTTACCTATCTGACAAGACGCCGTAAGGAAAAGCGACTAGGAAGTTGACCACGGCACCAATGAGAGACTGCCACCCGCTCAGCCAAGCAAGCTGCTTCTGCACCTCGTCGACCTTGCACTTCATCTCCGGGATCATTTCTGTGGGGCTAGTTTTATAGTGCTTATGGCAAATGTCATCCTCGATGAGTCTCATCATGGGAAGCATGAGCATCATGCCCTTGATAGTGATGGCAAACTTGAGGAGGGCCAGCATAAAGATGATGGTCCGCGGCGATCGGGCACGGAACGGAGCCAAGGCGGCATTGAGACGCGAGCCGGCTTTGTAGACCACCCCGCCGAGAGCACCGCCGAGACCGCCATCACCGGAGGAGGGCCGCCTCCATTTCGGCGGCGGAGGTCTCTGGAAAGCTCGGAAGCCGGCACGGGGGGACGGTTCGGACGGGTCCATTGGTAGCACCCCTTCGTGGTCCGAATATTCGGCGCCCAAGAGGTGCTCTTCCTCCACCTCGTCTGATAGACGTGGCATCTTCTCTGGCTTCCTTTCTTGAGGCCGATACTAAGGGACGAACGCAATGAGAGACATGGAATCAAGTGAGGCAATGATACGATAGCGAAATGACTAAATGACGCGGAAAGAGAGTGCCGAACAATAGAGAGCGTACAAAGAATGGAAAAGGCTTATTTGACAGGGCTGTGGACAGCGAACCCGATGACGACGCGTCTGGGCAAAGAATTCCCGTCGCCAAGGCGGCAAGTTTCAGCTGGAGTCGGCGTCTTGCTGTAATAACTCCCCGAAGCTTGCCTCGTACAGCGCCTTGTGGCTCTGTTACAGGCTGGGATGTGGATATTGGCAAAGCTTGATGAATGTTAGTAAAGTACTTAAGTTAGCTGTAGACTAAGGCCTTGGATGGATCTTATCAAAAGTAGAGCCTTAACAGTCGAGTTCCACAAATGCCACGATCGGAAAAGCCTCAGCGATGCACGACTACGTACTATTCGCACCATGGCGAGCCACCCAAACATCATTAGATGCCGATTCCGCAGCGTGGGAGCCTGCTGGTTTGTGCGCTCGTTGATCTACACAAAATAACTTTGGTTCTCACTGGTGCTGTAGAGACCTAATTGATTCTACTGAATTGAGAGTTGTAAATCTTTCCCCGTTGATAAACTGACTCTCCCTTTAGGTACCAACATTGATCCGCGACGTTTCATACTTTCATGAAAACTCGAGACGGGGAGCAAGATTGACATTCCCAAAATCTGCATGTGTGTGGTTGACTTTTAGTAGTAAGGCCGTGAGTACTTAACTCTTCAAGCCATCACTGATACATGGACAACGATCTCGCCATTCTGTATGGGTATCCCAGAGCCATTGGACGTTATTGCCTCCACAACTGAGAGCTATCGGAAAGAAGAGAGACGGATAAGTGAAGTCAAAAGACCGAGGCATGATACCTTGCTGATGACCCGCACCACACGGCACGCTGTTTTCAAGTGCTTTGCGTTCGCTCATCCCAGATCCTCTGCTCATCATCTTCTTCTTCCTGGTAGTGAAGCCTTGAGAGACTGTACGCGTTGTCGGAAGCTAGCACGTAGAGGATCATGAGAGCCACAAACGTTGGCCAGACGTAGAGGATCGCATCGACAACTACAGCACTAATGTACGACGGATTGTAGCCCCAATAATGACCTGTCATCGCCATGATACAGGAAATAAACCTCCACAATCTGGTTATGAGCCAGAGAGAGACTGCAATGAGCAGAAGAGTACACGCCTACCAAGTCAAGTCGGGTTAGCAACATGTTCAGATGGATTTCAACCTGTCTCTAAGATCAAGGAAAGACTGCTTACCGTCTGGGTAGGACTGCCCCTGGCCGCCTTGAAGGATACAACGGCATAACCAACCAAGCCGAAGGCCGCAACGAGGAGAAAGCCAATGTTGATGACACCCATGTGTTGGGCGGCCACTACCAGCCTGATCGCATTGTCCCAATCACCTGGTACATGGCGGCCTCTGCGAGGGAGGATTTCGAATAAGACCGCCTCAGCGACCTGACAGGCAAAAATTGCCACAGCTACCAGAGTTACTAGAGCTGACAGGCCGATCACCACCTTTCTGCCGACGCGATAGGCTCTAGAATCAACACTCTCGGCGCCGCTGCGAAGTTGGGTCAAGGCGTGAGCCAGGGAAAAGAAGGCGAGAAGAAGGGCAACGTGGCCCAGGTATCCAATCAGCCCGCCGACGTAAACGAGGTAGAAAATGCCTTCTGGAAAGAAGAAATAGCCGTTTTTTCGCCGAGCGTAATAGACTGCGAGAATAATCCAGTAAACAACACTCAGAAGTTCAGATCTAAGAGGCGTCGGTGAAGTTAGTCTTACTTCCATGATTGTGCTGAAACAGATACCTTTGAATCTTTCCCAAAAAGGGCCTTGAAAGTTGGAAGGAGTTATGGTAGAAATGCCTCACATGCTCCAAAGTCCTAGGGCGATCTTGGTGAAGTCAACCCATCGGCGTGTGTGATCATGCTTGACACCGGGCTTACGCAGCACAAGTACGGAGAATCCCAAGGCGGGAAGAATTACGAGGCCGGATAGGACGCTCCGTACTATGGATCCTGTTACATAAAGGCGATAGTCCATTGTGGATCTACCTGCTCAAATCCAAATTCCTCTATCTTGATATCTAGATCGAAGGGATGTTGCGTTGGAGACTATGTTGATTTCGTCGTTGGTGATAGAATATGGGTGGTGCAGGAACAACGTAACAAAGTTTCGGGCTGACAAGCGCCTTAAATATTACTGCAAATGTAACCAAAACATGTGAGCCTACGATCTTGGCATTCTTCTGTCCAGCTACATGTAGTAATGAACGAATGTGCCCTCGGTACGAGCCGGCCTCTCGCGGTCTCACCCTGGCCGGGCGACAGCTGTGCCGCAGCTAGACTGAGTTGGTGCGCATGCATGGCTGCATGACACCCGGCCAAGGAAATGCTGGCAGACCAGAGCCTGTAATAGCTAACAAGAATGTGCAGAAGCAATATCATCACCCTATGCACTTCGTCCTCAATACGCGGCCCGCTCCAGTCGTTGGTCGAGCGCACCGCTACGCCTCCTCAAATTGCAATCTAGAATGATACCGGACATCATTCTATCAACGCTAGCATCAAAAAAGCCGCAGTTGAAAAACGGAAGCTGGGTAAGTAGATAAGCCGAAAAGGTCTCATGATGTTGAAATAACGTTGTGAGTCTAAGGAGTTAGTTCTTGGGCCACGTGAGGCGCTGGGCGTGACTTGCTCCAAACCACCCAACTGACTCCGGATATTACAGACATGAGTGCATGAAAGCGGGTGCATTCAACATGTAGATAGCAGCCTGGTCATCTGTAGCATTCCAAAATCCCAACCAAGGTAGATAACTCAGAGCGACTCATGGCCAAGCCTTTTCATTCACTTCACGTGATCTCTTGCTTGCGTTCTGCCAGGATTGCTACTTATTTCACTCTATATGACTGGTAGATGGTATGGTTATGGTGCTTTGGTTCAACGTCATCCTCCAGCAGTGGGAAGCCAACCCGGCACATGTAGCGAAGATTGTAGAGGTTATAGGTTGGAGCCATCTTGAAAGCGAGCCAGTCACCGCCGAAAGCTGTTGGGATCCCTATCGTAGGGTAGTGAGTTCGAACCGTCCGGTTCTGTGGGTGAATAAGGGTCAATTGCTGTGAAGTAATCACAAGTCAACTTGATTTGAGGGCTCAACCGAGCCTGTTAGAGACTCTCAAGACATAGGCTCTTTGCCCGTCAAGGCAACTAAGTAGCCTACCTTAGCTCAGATGGTGTTTCGGTAGCTTGAAAGAAGCACACTTAACCTCATTTCTAGGGTACCTTATCTTACATAACCACTGGATAAGCCTCTGATGTTTTTTAATTTGTTATTGCCGTCACTATCAATGGCTTTCTGCTGTTTGACTGATGATCCTATAAAGAGCCGATCGATTCCCGCTTCATTGTGACAGCCATTATCGGGTGCGATACTATTTTAAGGAATGGCTGGGTTTGTCCTAGTTGTAGAAACAGTAACTCAGTGTTTGTCGTTCTATAACCTTTCGACTCACGCGGTTAAAGAGCAACAGGTGTCAACTTTGCTGCTCAAGTTGGTGAAATGGTTTGGAGCAGCGGTGAGTATCAACGATGGGATGTTGATGAACAGTGGCATGCTCATCTACTAGCGACAAATCGCTCAATTTGATCAGGCCTGCATCTAGCGACAGCAAAACCGCTACATCACTACAATGCGTCGTGCCAAGCACCTTCAATCGGTTATCAGTCATCGCTTGAAAGCTGGTCTTATCTATCAGCTATTGGACGAAAGAAAACATCGGCGAAAATCTACGTGTTCGCACCATGGGGTGTCTTGAAATCTCGATATCACAGCTTTGTGTCACCGTTACACAGCGTACCTGCCAACATTCCAAAAAGACCCCTAGATGCCCACAACTCCGACTGCCGTGACCACTTTCCGTGAGAATTCATGACCTCTTCCTGGATATCCTCTATGAAGATGTTTTCCACTGTCAGAGACAATTGAGAATCATGTCTCTCTTCATCCCTTGGTTTCCATCACCTCTGCCCCCTTTTCCATAAGTATGAAGCCTAGTTCTGCCGGGCGTTTGTGTGACGAAGTACTTAACAACTCATCACCTCGGGAGAACGATTCTTTGATTTCGCCCAGTCATTTCGACTTCCCCTCTTTCAAGCAAAGAAAGACACATTCAAATTCCATCAGCATGATCATTTGGGACTGCATTGTAGTGGGAGCTGGAATTGCGGGGTCCGTCGTCTCAAACCGACTGCTTGAGCAAGACCCGACCCTCAAAATCCTCCTGATTGAGGCTGGGCCAAACACTCATGAGCTTGTAGACTTGAAAGCCATCGAAACGGATCCCGAAGTCACCCGTAATCACACATGGTCGTTTACCTCAGTGCCCCAAGTCAATGTTGATAATCGGACTATGCCCGCCCTTGCTGGCAAAGGGCTGGGTGGTGGCACTGCCATTAACGGAGGTAAGTGGCCAAGAACATGATGGGCATATAGCCGGCGTCTTTCAATTTCCATTTACCTTCAGAATCCTCGCTTACGAGAAATGAACAAGGCGCGTGGGTTCGCGGCCACAGAGTTGACTATGACCTTTGGGGCGAAATGGTAGACGATGAGAGGTGGACGTATGAGGGCCAGCTGCCATACATGAGGAAGACGGAGACACTTTGGGACCAAACCACAAACCCGTCGGTTCACGGCCACCAAGGGCCAGTCAAGGTCGAAACACCAGTGGAAATGGGCCGTATCTTTCCATTGCGCCAGCCGCTGATGGACTCGTGGAGAGAACTCGGCGTCAATCCATTGCCCTCTCTTGACTCTAACGGCGGCGACAATCTCGGCGTAGGTAACATCCAAGAAAACAGAGACCACGGCAAGCGCCAGCTGGCGTCACAGGTCTATTCTCTCGACGGCATCACCGTCCTAACTGATAGCCTCGTCGCTCGTGTCCTTGTGGATCGGTCCCCTAGAGGCCCCCTTGTCTCCCGCGGCATACAACTCGAGAACGGCACAAAGATCTTTGCGCGTGAGACGATACTCTCAGCAGGCGCCTACCACACGCCAAAAATACTGATGCTTTCCGGCATTGGACCGACAGATATGCTCCGAGAGCACGGCATCAACGTCGTTCTAGACCAGCCAGCCGTCGGCCAGAACCTGCACGATCACATCCTCCTCCCTACGTTCTGGCACTTCGCCGATCCTTCCGCTGGCTGGGCCAAGGGATCAGGCAACCCCTTATTCGAGCAGCCGCAGTACGATCTTGGTGGCTTCGGCGACTTCATCACCGCCACCAAGCTTCCCGAAAAGGGCCTCGCAGACGCCATTGCTCAGGACGAAGGCGGGATCTCCCCCAACCCGATGCTGCACCCACTTCTAAATCGGGACCGTGCCGTTTCCTCACATCAACTCCTATATAGCGGCATCTCAGCCGACGGGTCTGCCATCATGCTCGTCTCTGTTGTTCTTATTACCACTGGTCGCGGGTCCGTTTCGATCCAGTCTGCCGATATCAAGGACGACCCTGTTATCGACCCAAATTTCCTGGGTTCCAATTTTGATCGATTTGCCGCACGAGAGACGATACGGGAGGCTATCAGGCTCATGTCATCCAATATGACCATAATGGGTCGAGAGATTATTGACGGCGATGGGACGGATCACCCGCTGACGGTGGATTCCACCGATGAAGAGGTAGACGCTCTGGTCCGCGGTCACACTGGGTAGGTCACTTTCTCACACGCTTCATTCCCGCTTCCCCCCTCTTTCACCTTTCCCGGTTTACTACTGACGCGGGATATCGTGTAGTGGATGTTATCATCCTGCTGGCACAGCCGCCATGGGCACTGTAGTAGACAGCGACCTACGAGTGATGGGGGTATCGGGCCTCCGGGTCGTCGACACGTCCGTGTTCCCCGTTCCTATATCAGCCAACCTACAGGTAGCCACTTATGCGCTTGGAGAACAGGCAGCAGATATCATTGGGTCGAGTCTATGGCGTAACGTGTGGTATTGGTGATGTTCACGAGTCGAGAAACAAGTACTGCTATCAAGTTTACGGGAGAAGTCGAAAGGGAGTGTAGGCAGTGAAGCTTCAAGTCTGAGCACGCACTTGGGGCATTGATGTAAGAACGGCAGAGAAGCTTTGGAACTTCCTTCTACACACGCCTCAATAGCACATAATGCAATAAGCACCCAGTATAATACTCATTATATGAGAATTTGCTTATTCTCTTAAGCAATCGGCCCCCCTCAGATTGAAATGACCCACAGGTTCAGAGTTCACATCAGGCACTGCCTATAGGAATTCCTAGATACATGATGACGAATGCCGAGGCGTCTTGGGTAGCTTAATGAAATGGAAGCAGTGTCTTGCCAGTGATCTCTTAGCCAAGGTCATTTGGAGTTAACCCGGACGACATACAGTGCGCCGGTGTCTGTGGCAAAGCAACTCAGCCAACTGAAGACTGTGGCCGGGACCGTGGACCTAGAGTGTAGTACAAGCTACCTCCCTTGGTACGACACAGCTTGTATTGTCGTGTGGAGCTACAAAGGCATAATCTATGTAACAAGACCAACCCACTCTCAGTTCAACGACTGGCGCAGCGGTGCGATCTCCTCCTCTTCACAAATACAACCTCGCCATTCCCCGATATTTGACCCCCCCCCCCCCCCTCTCTCTCTCTTCTCCTGTGCCAATGTATCCCATATGATCATTCTTTCCTTCATACACATGCTCAGATCAACGACTATTTTTCATTATCAAGAAGCAAAAACATGTCAACAGAAGATGACAACGACAGCGAAACCTGCCACATTCGAAGTGGCAGCGACGAAGGAGAGACAATAACGATAATGACCGAGGGCACGGGGGAAATGCCTGTAATCAAAGCCGAGACTATCGTCAATTTTCCTAAGCCCCCTTGTCACCGCAAAGATCAGACCATTTCCAATCCTCCTGGCTCTTCTCTCCACAACGTTAGAGACGAGACTATTCCCGATCCTAGGAAGTCCTCTTCTTACCTCAGAGAAGAGATTACTCCTGACCCACTGAAGGAATCTCTTTGTCTCGACAGATTGTTTGCCTCAGATCACCCAAACTCTTCCTATTTGGAAACTGAAGTCATTTCCACTTCTCCGAAGTCCTCTTGTAACATAGGACCGGAGGCTATCTCCAATCCCATGGAGACCACTCCTTGCCTGGGAGATGAATCTACTTCAGATGGCCTAGAATATGAAACCACTTCGGATTCTCTGAAGCTCTTTTCTCATTTCGAAAATAAGGCTGCTTGCGCTTACTCGAAATCTGCTTCTCGTCTCGAATCTTTACCAGCCGAGCTTCGAGTTCTTCTTCTATCCTGGATGCCCGATCTGCCGACGCTTCATAGTCTTATAAATGCATCTCCCGTGCTGCATGCCCAATACAGAAAGACACGCGATACCCTACTTTTCACCTGTTTGAGCAAGGAGCTTGATGGGTATTATGCGGATGCCTTCGCCACCCTTAGGTCTCAGGTAACGATACTCGGACCAAAGCGAACAGACGACATGTGCGAACAGTTCCTGTCCGATGACTATGACACCATACTCTCAGGGAAATATAATGTCGAAGATTTCGACAGACCCAGTGGCGGGCAAATTCGCTGAATGGCGGCTTTTCATTACTCTGTAGCTAGGCCCATTGCTCGTTTGTACACGGAATGGGCACTTGGAAACCTCCGACAGGCGGTTGCACACTCCATGTCAGCTGTATCGTCACTCATGTCGAGGGAGACATGCATTTCGACAATAGCGCGAGCCGACCAGGTCACGAACCTCAGCCGAAGTGAAGAGATACGCATTTACAGAGCCATCTACCGCTTTGAGACTTATTGCCACTTATTCGGTCGAAATAAGGGTGTGCGGTCCTACGGCTTTCGCAGTGATAAGATTTGTGATACTTTCTTCGGAATCTTTGACCCATGGGACGTAGAGGCGTTTGGATCCGTCTACCTATTCCTATAATCCAAGTACGACAGACTTTTTGAGGAGGTGAAGGATGACGTCGCGGATACCCATTTGAGATTCAATGATCGAAGTTCGGGGCTAACACCGTTCGATTCCTGGGATCTCGGGACGCCAGCACTACGCGATGGTGAGTTTGAAGGCAGTTCTTTTCTTTCTTTCTGTCACAAAATTGTACAAATTGCTTTTGACAGACTCTATGGTCACAGGTGGCTGACATGGAGTGCCGCAGAGATCATGAACGGCACGACTGCGCGAGGCCTCAGACCACATGCATCGTTGCATCTGCTGCGAATTGATAACCACGAGACTCTGGTGAACAAGATGTTATCTACTCTTGCTATGGATCGGGATATTGATGAGTGTCTCGAGCATGTGCTAGATTGGTCAGCGCAACACGAGAGACGGGTTTCGTCGCCGCGATTTCCAACCGCCAGGGACAAACTCGAAAGAGCCAAGACTCCGATGAAGTTCACAGGCGACAACGTGCCGCCTCTTTCACCACCGCTGGCGTGGGTCCTGCTATGGAATGGGCGATACTCCAACGTCTTTGGAGGATTTGTACCAGATGAACTGAGGCGATGGGGCTATGTCATGTGGGATGAGCAGCGGTGGAATAAGATGGGAGCCGGAGCGAAGGACCTCATTCGCGGACAATGGAAATCTCATCCTGAAAATCTTGTTGAGATCATGGAGACCGTTGTTTACTGGAGTTTAAATGGTAATGCCGACGACGCCGACGATATTGCGGGCGCCATGGAGGGATAGTCTCAACTTACTTCGTGGATTCCAAGTATTTATCGGTTATTATAGTCGGGGAAAGGGCCAAAGCTGAATAGACCCGTCTTTCACTTGTCTTCCTCAGCGTGGTGTTCAGGGTATCAGCCCAACTCTGAGATGTGCCCACGGGCAGGATTGCAATGGACTTACACCTCCACCAATATCTTCGAGACAACACTGATAAATGTGACCTGCTCCATGTTGCAGTGGAGATTGTTCGGCCCAAAGCCGATTGCGTGCCGACTTGATCACATGACGTCAGGAGATAAGATGGGGATGAAGTGCGGGCAGTGTCCGACAACGGGGACCATGATGCGACTTACTTGGAGTTATTGAATTCATAGTCTTTAGTCTTCCTCTCGCAGACCCAAAATCAACAAACTAGTGAACTTTCGTACACTTAAAATGGCCACCTCAACAGGTTCATACCTCATCATAGGCGCTGGCGTCTTCGGCGCCTCCACAGCCCTGCACTTAATCCGCGCGTATCCCGACGCCAGCATCACCCTCGTCGACCGCAACGCCTACGACGCCCCCATCCGCGTCGCCGCCTCGTGGGACTGGAACAAGGTCGTGCGCGCCGACTATGTCGATATCGAGTACATGCGCCTCTGCCTCGAAGCCAAAAAATACTGGTCCGAGGACCCAATCTGGAAACCATACTACCATGAAAGCGGCGTCTACTGGGTCTCGCCAAACAACTTTGCAGAACAAATGCAAGAGAATTACAAGAAGCTCGGAGTAGACTCTGGGTTATTCTCATTCTCTGTCGACGAGGCCAAGAAGCAGTATGGCGGCATTTTCAAGGATGCTGATTTCACCAATGTGAAAGAGGTCTTTGTCAATAAGAACAGTGGATGGGGTGAGGCGAAGGAGGCATTGCAGAGGACGATTGAAGAAGCCGTGAAACTCGGGGTGAAATATATTGAGGCAGAAGTTGAAAAAATTGAGTTCGATCAGGATGGCGCTGCGACCGGTGTCAAAACGTCGAAGGGCGAGAGTATTACCGCCTCACGAGTCATCCTGTCAACTGGCGCTTACACGGCCAAGTTGCTTGCTAATAGCGCACCCGAGAGAAAGGATCTTCAAGCTGGTGACAGGTTCGTGGCAGCAGCTGTTACTGAGGGTTTCACGCCTGTCTCTGGGGAGAATGCAACGGGCCTTTACAATGGGCCAGTCGGCATATCCATGGTTCCGCCATCAAGAGGTATGGAAGAGCTGGTGGCAAATCTGTTCTGTCATATTTCAACTACTAACGGTTATCGTAGGCGCAAGCAACGGAAGTGTTCCCCATTCCAAAGACAAGACCTTGAAGTTCTGGGGCCAGATAATTTTCAGAAACACTCAGACTCATGCAAATGGAAGTCAGATATCTGCACCTCCTCCGGCAGTTGACTATGCGCAGCTCGAGGTTCCAGAGGCCCTGAAAGAAGACGTTGACTATGCTGGAAAGAGCCTGTTTGGCAAAGGAAGCGACAATTTCAAGAATGAGAACTATCGTATCTGCTGGTATGTACCCTATATCGGCTCCCGAGACTGGAGCCAAAATACAATATGAGATATCTTGCTAATACATCTGATGTAATAGGGAGGCTGTCACGCCCGACGAAGACTTTATCATCTCTCCACACTCTGCGAGTAAGAACCTCTACGTCGCAACCTGTGGATCATTCCACGGCTGGAAATTCCTGCCCATCCTGGGTAAGTATGTTGTGCAGATGCTCGACGGATCCCTTGAGGAGACTTTGGTAAAGAAATGGTCATGGGACCGATCATTCCCAACGCCCACTCATAGGGCCTGGCCTAGAAGAGAATTGAACGATCTGAAGTAATTGCTTCCGACGTAAAAGAATGTAGGCATTGACGGTTAGCATATAACAATGAGATAGAGAGGAAGATCTGATCGATGAACTCGTCCATTATTAGTGCTTCAAAGACAAGCGCAATTTGTTACTTTGGTGCGCGATCATGCCACCCATGAAGCTGCGGCCCCAGATGAGCAATTAGACGTCGATCTTAGAAAGAACCAATTAGCAAGTTGTCGTATAGTCACAAATAGGGGCATCGACGTTAAATGTAGAGAACGGTTATCTATTGAAAGTAGGAAATGGGCACGAGGTTCGCCCTGAAATAGAGAGTATAAGCGAGTGTGGACCTCGGGTGATTATGTAACCGAGGTCACGTAACATACGGTAAGGCCATGGATAGTTAAAGCCATCACAACACACCCCCCTAGACAAATCCTCGTCTAGAAAAAGCGCGCCGAATTATCCATATTATTATAAAAAGTGCTACTAAACGCATAAATTTAAATAATACCGTATAAGAATTTATTTATAAAAGGAATTATAAAGTAAATCGCGCTACGCGCTAAGTTATAGGCGTAGGGTAGATAAGTAGTAGTTTACCAGCCGTATTCGTTACTATAAGTGATCTCGAGGCTCCTCTATTAATAATAGGTAGGACCGAGGGGCAGCCTCTTATTAACCAAATAATTAGCCTACGGTTTAAGGTAGGTAAGTAAGTAAATTCCTTATAGCCGCCCACTACTTTAACTTTCTTTTCTTTTTTTAACCTATATCTACATACTAACTATACGTATATACCCTTACTTTTCGCTTCCGCACCCGCGTTCGTACACGTGCCCATCAGTAGAAATAGGAATCGTAGCTAATAATATTATTTAAGATAAATACCTAAACGTACCAGGGCTAAAAAGCGCGCTCGTACCGCCGTAGCGCGCGAGGCCAAGCGCCTTAAGACGACTTTAGGGGAGAGTAGCAGCTCCCCTACCTACGACAACGATCCGCCTATAAATAAGTGATACCTTCCTCGTATTGGACTCCGGTCGGCCAAGCAATAGCATCGTGCCATAACTTTACTTTCAGATTTACTAACGTTCTTATCTATAGGCGATGGCTTTCTAGCCGAAGAAGAGACTACCTAGGAGGTGGGTAGAGGTGAGGGTAGTTCAGAGCCCCCTCCCTTGCTCCCTCTTAGCAGGCGTAAGGCAGTTCCCCATAAGTATAATATCCTTTCCTCAACATCGTCGTTTACAATTTTGATTCTTAATAGCGTACCCCTCTAGCACCCCTGGTGCCAAGGGACTTCTCGAGCGGGTACTACCGCCGTTCAGTGCCGAATGCTTGGGCTACATTAAAAGCGCCCTTAGTGGACGAACGGAGGGGTGGTGCCTCCCAGGCTCAAGCGCTAGTAGCAAATATACGCATTATCAGGCTAATAAGAAGTCCGGCTGCGCTCCCCTCCAGGGGCGTACGCGCGAGCTAGGCGAGAAGTTCTTGTGCCTTAAGCGGGCAAAGAAGGAGAATCTAGCGGAGACCCCGTAAAAAGTTAGTCTCTATACGTACTCGTCGTTCTGAATTAATTGCTAACTATCTCCAGGACCTGACTCGCATAATAGCAGCGTTACGTGAGGCCCTGGCAGCCGACGGGCTGCTAGGTGAGGTCAAGGACGAGGTAGCTCGTGTAGACGAGGCTTTAGCAAGAAAGGCATCTATAGGCGCTCTCTCTATGCTCAAGGCCTAGTTAAAAGAGCTTATTAAGGAAGAGAAGGTACCGGCTACCTCGCGTACAAAGGCTGACAGTATCCGGATCGGAATTAATACCCTCGTTAGTATTCATATCCCCGCGGATATAGTGCCCGCGTTAAAGTCCTTTCTGGACGAATACGCGCTTACCTTCTTAAGTAAGTAATCTTTTTATAGCGACCTAACGGGGTCGCCGGAGTAACTTTATACTCCCTGGCTATAGGCTACGTTTATAAATTGAAAACCCGGGCCCCCCGGGGCGTTTTACTGCCTCCCTAGTGTTCCCTCGTTCTATATAACCATTCCTCGTATGTCCCTTATGTTCAAGAGCGATACGAAGTATTTGAACTTTGCTCGTAAGAGGCTCTTTATAAGACCGTTAGCTAGTATCTTATTTATTAGTATATAGACCATTTTAAATAAGCTTTTTGAGTACTCTTAACGTAGCCATATATTCTAAATATTAACGTAGCGAAGGCGAGTTAAGATACGTTCCCCTTCTTCCATTATAAGCCTTATTATTTAACGATTATTATAATGAACTTTCTAAACGTCCCCGAGTTTAAGCAATATATTGCTAAAAAGGCGTTTCAAAGCGAGTATCTCTTTAGTAGTATGTTCTAAGCTAAGTAGTTCGGCCTTAGTTATCGAAGTCGTTACTATATTCTACCTTGCGGCTTTCTACTAAACGAGTCTACCAAAAAGAGAGATTATATATCCTTGAGAGGATTTTTAGGTCTCTTCGTCGTCTATAAACGAAGCGTTACCTACGATTATTAATACCTATCTACCCCCCGAGATACCGAAGTATATAGCGAGGTAGTAAGTATAGAAAAGGTATTATATAACTTAATCTATGGTAGAATAGTACTAACGAGACGGGTTCGTAAGGAACCGAGATAATAAAGCGTATACAAAAGCAACGTTAAGTCGTATTATTATTACTATATATAGGATTAACCCTATTTTTTTTTGGAACAACTTAGTTTTAGCCGGTAATACAACTCTTAGGTTCTTTTTAATTAATACAGTTAGTAACAGTATTATTAGTGCTTTTACGTTAACAAGATCGAACTTCTTAGTAACTCTCTTAATATACTAGTTATAGGCGAGATAGATTTTTTAGTTCGGTTAATCTCGGACGACTCTAATACCTAGATATTACGAAACTAATCCCTGGTCCTTCAACTTATACTTCTTCTTAAGCCCCTCGGTTACCTAACCGGCCTCATAGACGTAGTCCTTATAGGATAACACAAGGATATTGTTTATATAGAAGAGAACTAGGACCTTTTTATCTTAAGTTTAAAATAAATATAGGTCCTCGTTCGTAGGCATAAGCCCGAGGGATCTTAGAGTTGCTAAGAGTTCTTTATACTAAAGTAGAGGAGCATCACGGGTACCGTAGAGGGCTCGTTCGAGTTCGATATACTTACCTAGCTACTTAAAGCCGTCTAGGAGCTCATATATAATAGGAGGGTCGCCTAGTTTTCGTATTACGTTTAGAAACGTATTTACGATATCGTACTAATGGACTTCTAAATCGAATTAAGTAGCAATAGCTATTACTATTCTAAAAGTCCTAGCGGCGAGAATAGCTACGTACGTTTTTTTTAAGGGGTGTTGCTCTTAGAGGTCGCCCCTAATACATATTCTCATTTTATAACGATCGAGGTAATGGTCCTTATTGAATTTATAATTAAATACCTATTTAAGCGGTATTAGCTTCTTTTAGACTATCGTTCGGCTAATGACTTTTTAGGTATTTATTTCCTCTAGCTTTTTAATTTCTATACGAGTAGCCTTAATAAAGTAGGTTTTGAGGGGCTCGGGTATTTTAAGGACGTTTTTCCACATCCTAGGAGGGGAAATAAGGTTATCTATATATATCTTATTACTAAGAAGTGCGGTCAGCGGAACGTGCTTCGTTCCGCTAATTATGGTATAAACGTAGTAATAGAGCGTTTAATACCCCTGGGTCGCTTTGTTAATCGCTTTTTGCTAATTAGGTATATACGTATTAAAAAAAGCGTCTTAGTCTCGTTCTATACAAAGCAAGAACGAGTACTACCCAAATTACTCCCTACGACTCGGGTCTTAAGCGACTACCTCCGGCAACTAATTTCTTAGTCTCCGGCTTTGTTTAGTATACTTATTATTCTTATGGCTATTAGAATTAGCCGCTTCGGAATCTCCAGTTAGGTCGTTCACCTCTCCTACTTCTCGACGTGGGCTCGTTAGCTGGATAGGATCATCGGGGTCTAGTTAGGTAGAAGAGTCCTCCTCGTAGGAGTTCAAAGGAGTTACTTCTTCTATCTATACGTATATTACGTCCTTAACCCTCTCTATAAAAGGGTCGGCTTCCCCTGCGGCCTCGTTCATAACCTCGGTTAGCTATGCGAGGGCCGGGCCTAGTTCTAGACTCTGGAAGTTAGGAGTTAGCTCGGGGGTAAGCAGTTACCCGCTTCGTCCGTTCGAAAATAAGCTAGACTTTTCTATAGTCTAGTTTATTTCCTACGGAGTGAGCGTAGGTAGTAATAAGTACTTTTAGTCTATTATTAGCGAGGCCTCTTCCTTATCTACGACTCTAAGTAACTGAAGCTTAGGATTAATGGTCGTGAGCGGCTATTGGATTTTATCTACTACGGACTTTAATTTAGGTAGTCGAATTACGGCCTTTACGTCGTTCTTTAAATAGAAAACGGTCTTATTAAACGTTATATTATATATAATAATAACTTCTAAAAGCGAGGGGATCTAGATCCTATATATATTATGGGCGTTTATTACGTATCTTACGAGGTATCTAATATGCCCCCTCTACTCCACCTTGAAGCGTTTTTTGTTAATTCCTTTCTTACGGTCCCTTTTTAGAGGGTACGCCCGGTAGCTATATACGTACGTCTACCCCTAATAGGGACGTAGATCGCGGGCGAGCCTCGGTATGTTTATTGGTTACTACTACCTAAAGTAGTAGCTAAACTAGACTTCCTCGATTTAAACTGGCAAGAGCTAGTTAGTACGTTACCTAGGGCTAATATCGTATAAGTAGGCTACTACTAACATAGCTTCTACCTATAGGTCGTTCAGTAGCCCAGCTATAGATATTATACTAATTACCTTGCTTATAATTTCCTGGCCGGCTCGCTCCCTACCTCTATTTAGCTTTTTTATATACGGAGGAGTAGTCTTTAGTTCAATTCCGAGCTCTTTTACCCAGGTTTAGAAGCGAGTCTCGCTATTAATTACAATTATTATACGTTTTACATCTTACTAGATCTTAT